TCGGCCTCCCAAAGTGCTGGGATTACAGGCTTGAGCCACCGCGCCCGGCCTCTGTATTCTTTTCTTTCAGGGACTCCTGCTTGTCAGATGCTTGACCTCCTACGGGGAACTTCTGTGTCCTTTGTCTTCTGGTGCGTGGTTCCCTTTTATTTGTGTTGTAATCTCTGTTATGCTCTGGAACGTTTTCTCTGCTGTATATTCCAACCCTTTTGTTTACTTTTTTAAAATGTATTTATTTTATTTTAAACTTTTAAATATTTTATTTAAATTTTTTAAATTTAAGAGACTTTTCCATTTTCTAACCTGTTCACAGCTCACTGCAACCTCCACCTCCCAGGTTCGAGCAATTCTCCCACCTCAGCCTCCCAAATAGCTGGGATTACAGCCACCACGCCTGGCTAATTTTTGTATTTTTAGTAACAACGGGGTTTTGCTATGTTGGCCAGGCTGCTCTCAAACTCCTGGCCTTAAGTGATCTGCCTGCCTCGGTCTGCCCAAGTGCTGGGATTACATAGCATTCTATTCTTATAGACAAAATGTGAACTTGAATTTTTCTGAGAATAGAGAATTTTTGTTTTGTTTTGTTTTTTGTTTTTGAGACAAGGTCTCTGTCACTCGGGCTGGAGTGCAGTAGTGCAATCATGGCTCACTGCAGCCTCGACCTCCTGGGCTCAAGAGATCCTTCCTCCTCAGATCCCAAGTAGCTGGGACTACAGGCGCAAGTCACTACTCCCGAGTAATTTATTTTTTGTATAGACGAGGGTCTTGCTATGTTGCCCAGGCTGGTCTGGAACTCCTGGCTTAAAGCGATACTCCCAACTTGGCCTTCCAAAGTGTTGGGATTACGGGCATGCACCATCACACCTGGCCTAAATTGAGATTTTCTTCCCTGAATGATCTGTTTCCTCTGGTGTCAGGTGTTTTCTCTTTGTTCTTCTTTTCTCCCCCTTTTGTGATGCAGTATTTCTTCAAATGTCTGATGACTCTTTGGCATGTGAGGCAATACAGAGGCTGGCAGGGAGTGTTGCTTACGTAAGCAAGGTTTGTCAAAAGGAGGCTTCCCTTTAACCAGAGAAACTGGGTTTACCCGCAAGGACTTCTCAAATGACAGAAGTAGAGAGCTTCTTGGGGAGGTGCCAGCACTTGTACTACCCACCTCATAAGTTTCTTTCCAAATGGTTTGTTTTTCTGTTTTGTTTTGAAATGGAGTCTTGCTCTGTTGTGCAGGCCAGAGTGCAATGGTGTGATCTCGGCTCACTGCAACCTCCACCTCCCAGGTTCAAGCGATTCTCCTGCCTCAGCCCCCCAAGTAGCTGGCATTACAGGGGCCCACAACCATGCCTGGCTAATTTTTTTTGTTTTTTAGGTTTTTTTTTTTTAGTAGAGATGGGTTTTCACCATGTTGGCCAGGCTGGTCTCAAACTCCTGACCTCAGGTGATCCGCCTGCCTCAGCCTCCCAAAGTGCTGGGATTACAGTAGTGAGCCACTATGCCTGCCCTATTTAGTTGTTTTAAAAGAATATTCTGTATGTGTGTGGTGGGATGTGTGGGAGGGGGAGGCAATACACAAGTAAATACCTGGTTGCCTGGCATTTTGCATTTTCAGCTCCACTCCCCCTCAGGGTCTGCCTGCCAGGTTAGTTAACTCAATTGCAGACTCTCCACTTGTACTCCAGGTTTATACTCCCAGCTGTGCCTCCTGCTACCCTGTATTTTTGTATTTTTGTATTTATATCAAAAACATTGTATTTTTGACTGGGAGCAGTGGCTCATGCCTGTGATCCAAGCACTTTGTGAAGCTGAGGTGGAAGGATCATTTGAGCAGC